GAATTACTTCCCTAAAATCAAACCATTTCTTGTACAGCTCTACGTATTTCACAAAAGAAGGTGGAAGCTCTCTCTATTATAACAAATTTGGACCAAAGAGTTTAATGTTAATTTATACTGAGTGAGATTATCTGTATAGTCATGAAGAATTAAGCACCTTTCTTCTCTTGCTTCAGGGCTGTTTTGTGAGGAAGATGCAGGCTCCTTTTTCTTTTCTTCAGAATCTTTATCAGTTGAAGGCCCATCTGGAAATACAAAACATGAGGAACTCTTTTACTCAGAAACTGTAACCAATTTAAAGCAGTGGTAAGATACCTTTGATAACTTCTCCTGAACCAGGTGGAAATGCTATCAGCTCCCACTTTCTGCTTTGACCTTCTCCTGCAGCACAACCTGCCACTGCCCAACAGCCTCCCCAGCCCAGCAAATGGAAAATACAACAACACTGCAGATCCTTCAAGTCCAGCATCTGCTTAAACTGGCAGTGAAGACATGATGAAAACGTAGACTTTTATGAATTATTTTTGCCAACTCTGCTGCATGAGGTAGACAATAACTTCTTAAACTACTGCATCAAGTGTTCTACATACAAGTTCCTACTAAATGCATATTACTCTTTTTAATTATATTCAAAGGATTTCCTCCAAAGCACTGAACCAAACATAAGTCTGGTGTGAAAACTAGCAAGCTTGCCAAAAAATGTAAGGATTTTCATGCTTCTCCCAACACGCACACAGTATTTGCCTTAGTGTTTAAAAAATATTTGAATTTGCCTTCCCCATACAGGATAACTTTAAAGATGATTTTATAAAAAATAAAGACAAAAGCCTTTTTAGTAAAAGGGCAATCACAACATTTAACTTTAGCCTAGTGAGAACACACTCACCCTTCTATTGTAAAGAGGAATTCAGAGTGGTTAAATCGAGCTTCTGCTTTGATTTGCTCTCTGGAACAGCTGACTCTCTCCACTGCCTACCGAGAAAGCCTCGCAAGGCTGGCATCACTCACTGAGGCTTTGATTTTGTGAATTCCTCTAAGCCCCCATAAAGCTGCCATTACACTTTTAAGTCTATAAGCATATATTACAAACTTAAAAGAACTAAAAACAGATCAAGAAAATGAGGGAAATTTGATAAGGCTCAGCCTGTCCCACAAAGATGTCCTGAACCAGGTATCTAAATCCTTGTTTAAACATCTGTAAAAGTATCCTCATTTCCAGAAGAGCCCCATTCACACGTTTCTCAGGGGAACTTGGTGGTATGGAACACAAAAATTCAGGGCTCTTATTCAAGCACTGAGCTTTTTTCTTTTTTTTTTTCCTCCTCCTAAAGAGTTGAAAATTACTGTACTGGCTTATTTTTAATAGCAACAGTTTACATTTAAAGCTACACAAAAAAAAAAAACCAAAACAACACATGAACAGGACTTTGATCATTAACTTTTGAGTTCAGGAATGTATTAAATCAAATATCACTATGTTAAACAATTATCATCATAAAACTAGGCCAGAGACAGATATACCAAATCAGACCAAGCACCCATCTACTATTCAGCAGTACTTAAAAATAGACACCTAACAAAACAGTAGAGGAACCAGGCAATCACAAAGATACTTCTCCAGAATATTTGCCCGGCCTTCAAGACCTTATAAATTCAGTAATCTCCTCACCCATTGTTTGTAACTTCGTATTCAGTTCCTGATAAATGTTTCCATTAAAGAAAAAATGAAAATTAAACACAGCAGATGATGCATTTGGGCCAACTGTCTTTAATAAGCTAAAGGTGTTATTCAAAAAATCCCAGTAGCGATATCAACCTAAACATCACGAAGAAAGCAAAGAAGGTTATAAACTGAGTGGATCACAGAAGTTCTTTGCTATGACAGCTAAAGTGCACAATAACAAGTAAAATCCTATTTTGACATGCATATCTCTATGACAACAAATGCTTACATGATATATAACTTCAGAATACTTTTTAAGCATGCATGTCATGTCATTTACCCTCAGCATTTTTTAAGCACATGGTCATTTTTGTCAGAAGCTTTAAGACAAACCAATAGATCAAATGGGTACCTTGGGGTACAGCTCAGGTTCTTTAAGGCAGCAGAGCTGCCCTAGAGCTGAGCTCTGCTTCAACCCATTTACCTCCATATTTTTTTCTGGCACACAAACTGCCAAATTCAAAGCTGATCGAGGTATCTCCTGCCCGAATTTTGCATCTAATACATGGCGGTGGTAGAGCTGGCACCCTAGTTTTAGCTTATCAAACACCTCCATTTAGCCCAGCACTATTTCTTCAGAGAAGGCAGGCTCCCGAGAATATCTCCCGATACGTCGATTGCTTCCTGCCCTCGTGCAGGGCAGGGCCTACCTCCGGCACAGGGACAAAGCTAGAGGTGAGAGCAGAGCTCCTCCTACGCCTGCACACCCATCTACACAAGCAGGTCTCGAACCAAAGGTACAAACTTCAGCAGCTGAGACAATTGGACCATCTTCAGCAAATGTGTCTTCACTCTGCAATTTCTTTTATTGCTTAGAGAAGAGTTTATAGATACTTTTGTTTAACCCGGTTTCAGAAATCTGAAAACAAAGTTAACAGTATCTTCTGCTCTCTCAAAATATTTTACTTAAATGGTTAAGTCATTAATTCTTACAGGTTGTAAATTGGAAAGCACTGAGGAGACGAGCTCCAGATACTGACAAAAGAATGGAATGCAGTAAATAGCTTGCTAGACAGTATTTTAACCATCTTCTGGGGAAAGTAAAATAAAAAAAAAAAATTATCCTTGAGAAACCAAATCCCTAATTAACTTACTTTACATTCAGTGGCCAGACTCTAACACAAAGGAGAAATGACAACTAACAGGAACTACAACCACATAACAAAGTAAATGGAAAAAAACGGCCCTTCTTTGAAAGATATTTAAAAAAATCCATTGAAAAAGTGACTAGCATCAGGAAGTCTATAGAACATCAGAATATTTATATACTATCAAGTACAAACTGCTTTAAAGAGGAACAATTATTTTTTCAACTTCATACAGCTACTGAAATCTAACAAAACTTTCCTTCAGAAACAAAACATCATCAATTTTAGGATTGAAAACCGTAACTTCACTGTTTTAGCTACTACAGCTTCAGAAGGCCATAAAAAAAATCTTTGAGGTTTTTTTTTTTAAAAAAAAAAACAACAACGTAAGCTGATTTCTGTTAATGCTTCTTCAAAGAACAAGCTAATAACATGAATTCACTATTAGCCACTAGAGTAAGACTATCAAATTCTGACCACTGCATTGCAGTTTCTATCTGGGACTTGCAATTAATTTGAAAGATACTTCTACCTTGTCCACTGAAATACTGTCTCCAGGGTAAAAGATGACAAGACACTGCTCTTTGTTACCAGAACAAAATTTTTAATGTAATAATCTACAGTTAAAGATAGCATAATTAATCTCAGTATCAGAAGCCATTAATGTCTTTATCATAGAGTCATAGGATGGCACAGGCTGGAAGGGACCTTAGAGATCATCTAGTCCAACCTCCCTGTCATGGGCAGGGACGCCTCTCAGCTAGATCAGGCTACTCAA